TTCTGTTGTTGCCACTTTGTTTCAACACATCGCGTGTGTACTGTAGTCAATTTTGTGACGCATCAAGACTACTAGTACCTTGCTTCTATGACTTATTTGAGACAAGAATTCCACGTAGTTGTCTGATTACATGTTGACAGCCCATGAACTCTTAAACATGTTATTTTCAGTTGAACAGCTATATTCTAAGAATAATTGTTAATTAGCATGCACAATTATTTATTATTCCCTGGTATGTCGATAAGGTGAATCATGATACATGTATAGGTAATCACTGATTACTGGTACATGTATTGGTGTCCGTCTGTCTGTCTGTTCGTACAAATTCGTAAAGTCAACACTCTGCATTTAGAACCTATTGTGTGATGGTCATACAGTTCTGGTGAAAACGAGTTGTTTATTGCATGCTGATTTGCATATCCCAGAGTGGTGAAAACACGTACATTTGTATTCTGTCTCTCTCCAAATTTTAAATACAACACTCTTCATCTTAAAACTTGGTATGCTTGCTTGTCATACTGTCAAGACAAGATAGTGAAGACAAGATGAGTAAATTGCATGCTGAATTTCTACCCCTAACTCTACATACTGCCTAACTGAGATGTATACTAGTGTTAGCTATATCCAGCTACAGTAGCTGGTACACAATAGTCTTTCAATTAAAGCAGTAAACTTTATCCATTTCTTGTAAAACCATGTCAAGAAGAATATAACTTTCTTATTTGAAATCTGTTTCAGCTATTCATCTTTTGACTTTAGATGTCATGAGAATAAGTACCTTCCACTATAAATGTTTCATCATATTCCCATTACGAGTCTTGTACAATATTTGCTATTTTAAGGTACTGAAGCTAAAGTTCCCATTGGAGTACTGGAGTTAAGATTAGAATTGATACCAATACCAACACAGATGTTAAAAGAAGATATAATCACAGCTCAGGTTAGACTACTGTATACTATTTGTGTTCATGCAAGTTTAGTGAATACCTATTATCGGTAAATGTATCAACATTAGCAATCTTATTTTTAGTCAAAAACAGTGACACCATGGCATGATCCCATAGTATACATGTATTTCAATTCTTTGTGTATTTTTCAGGTTGCGCTAGAAAGAAACAGGACAGCAGAGCGTGAGAGGTTATTCCTGGTATATGCCAAACAATGGTGGAGAGAATATTTGCAAATCAGACCATCCCATAACAACAGACTGGTGAAAATATTTGCACAGGTGAGTTTTGTACATGAAATCTATCCACTACAAGATAAGCAATATATTCTATCTGGTGTATGTATATGAAGTTATTGTGAGGATTTCGCAATGTATGCACAAAGTACAGCGTAACTTTATTAATGTACATCTTCCAGATCAAATCACTTGGTGTAAGATGCTCAGACCTGAGTAAAATGGTTGAAATTATTGAAACTTCCTCACTATAAAATTTGTTTTTCATCATCTAAGAAATATGGTGTAAATGTTTTTAATATTTAAAAAAATCCCATGCAATATCATAATGTATTTATGCGTAGTTGTTATTGTCCTATATTTGTGTATGTATACATGTTTACATATACATGTTACAATTCTGTTGTTGCAATTATTAAATATAATTCTGTGTGGTTTGAATAGCAGGCATCATCTGGTCACAGACATGTAAACTGATTAATGTCAAAACCTGTGATAAACGGCATAGCAAGCAATTTTTTTGCAAGATTATAATATTGAGTGAAATGAAGTTTGTCGCAAAGTGGGTCATTATGTGCACATGGGGGGAACAGCGAATATTTTCAGAAAAGAGACTAAGTTTATTCACAAGACAATTCAAAAACTTTGTACATTTATTTGAAAAAGATAGAAAAGCATACATTGCGACAATACATAGGAAAATTAAAAAAAAAATCTTGTCTTGTTTTGATTATAATAAACTATGTCATATACCATTTGCTGCATAGCTACTCTAATTTTTGATATTTTTAGTTGTGAAAAATGTAAATAATAAACTTGATGTATACCTGTGTATTTATTTGGTAGGATGAAAGTGGTACAAATCGTCCTGTGTGTAGTTATGTTAGACCACTAAGAGCTGGTAGACTATTAGACACACCCAGACAAGCAGCAAGGTTTATAAGTGCTATTGGATATGAGAGAACATCCACTGTAGGTAGTGGTGGTGCAAAGGCTGAAATATGGACATCAATGCATGCATTCCTGTGTAAAAATAAAGGGGTAAGTTTTGGGGTATCATATGACTATGTATTGTATGATATGATATTATTGGGTGCTTATCATATCGATAACTGATATTTCATACTGAATGTAGTGATATGCATGTTGAATATCTTCAGTTTATGCGTGCTCAAACAGTACGCTGTGTAAACCAAATCGTGCAACCTCCCAGATTTAATTGCTACGATATAAGAATTTCAGACTGGATAACAATTACTCAAATGCAATGACATTAACTCATAAACTGAATGTTTATTTGGAAAAAAAAATATTGCTATTAAGGTAGAGATGCAGGTTCGTGGGCACTTAGGAGTGAAATGTTTTTTTTTTTTTGCTTTTTCTTATCCAAACAGTCTTGGCTATAGACTGTTAAAATTTTGTAGAATTGTGAATAGTGGAACATACTCAAAAAACGATTTTAAAATATAGATAACAGGTGCAAACATTCTTACTTTTGAATGCTTAGCAAGATTTAGCAAGGCTGTAGATAAATAATAAAAAACAAACATGGTGAAAAAAAGAAATGACGAGAACTCCTAATTATGCACTATATTTAACTTTTAACAAAACGATAATACATTTAAATTTGAAACTGTTACAGCCATTTTAATTATGAGCATTAGCAAACTTCTTACTGAGTGAATTGTTATGCAAATTAGCAATTATCTCAAATTCTTTTTAGTGCACATTCCAGAACTTTAAAAAAAAATAGGTCCTAGACGCTTTGACCTTTTGTTTGTAAATTTTCACAAATGATTGACAATGTGTTTATCTTCAAAACGTCGTCGGGGCATTTTTTTTTGGTTGAACAGTGTTACAACAATCGTATAGACAACTAGCCTGGGTGTTAATTTATGCATAAACTTGAAGTAGTGAAATTTGGGCTGCTGCCCTGCAAAATTGACAACTGGTGGACAGTTTTCAAGACGACGCTTTCTTCATAGTAAACAGATGTACCCATAAACCAATTTTAACAGGAAAAAGAAGTATGGTTTAGAAGCTAATTTTTTTTAAATCACTTTTGACCAAAAAACAAAATTTTAAAATTCATACAATAAGCTTTCCGAAAATATATAGTTTTGTGGACAAGGGAGGTCATCTTGGTTTCCTAATTAACTAATTAAAATACCTGTCAGGTAAACTGCATCTCTACCTAAATATAAAGAAGGGTAATAATCTGCCAATTTCAAATGCACTCGGAGTATGTCATGTGATAACAAGATTATATGACCTGATATAACTTATTCGCAGAGCTGGCTGGTACAAATGACATCATGGCCCGTATTATTCACTCACCTACAGCTCTATGAACAAGTGATATAAGGGAATAACCTCACAATATGTGCAGTATAAGATTGTATGTAGGATATTTAATGTATAATTTAGAGTTTGTAATTTAATACAGAATTTAGAACTGTTTGCCAGCCATTGATCATTCTATAGAAATAGTGTATTATAATGGCAAAGTAATTTTTTTTCTAAAAATATTAGTAATAGTATTATTTAAAATAATCCACTATGATTAATGAGCTAGTTATGATGAAGTGACATTTTGAAAACATGTGTTATCATAGAAAACAATGATGACATGGCTTGACAGTTAAATACAGTATATGTACTTAGTTTAAGTAATTCGAATTTTGTTTTATACATTATTCAATAAAATATTTATTCTGCACTATAAAACACTGGCTCAAAAGTACTCACCTACTATTAAATATAAAAGGTTGAGGTAATAAAAATAAATATATCAAATGAAAATTGAAACCATCTCTATAGCAATGTATAATTAACTGCAATTTAGAGGGTGTTCTTACATAAGTAATTGTTTTATAGTCTTGGACAATGAAATAAGCTGAAGGGTAGCAAAGACATGCAAAACAAATCAAATGCACAAGTTTAACATTTAACAATAGGTTGAGCATTTAAAATGCCTCGGCTCTCAGTGTTGTCAAGTAGTAAACATACATATTACTGTAAGAGTGGGGAGCTGTTTACTATAAATAAAACGGCCTCATCATATGAAGTCAGGTTTGTGTGGATGGCTGACTATTATGCTTACTTTCTATTGTCTGTAGGACTGTGAAGACCATGCTGTGTTACTATGTAGTTTACTTATTGGTTTTGGTTTAAATGCTTATGTATGCGTTGGTACCAAGACGAAAGGTACAGCCCATGCCTGGGTCATGACTATATCAACAGATGGACTTGTAACGTTTTGGGAGAGTCTCACTGGTCAAAGGTATTATCGTACTTCACATTACTTACATCAGTTCTATGTATTATTCAGTTAGTCAGTTAGCAAGTTGGATTGCAACTTTGCAAGACACTTGTTTTATTGTCCAATCTAGATTTGACGTTCATTGACTCGCCCAAAATTTGGATCATTCTCCCATTATGGTAAAGTGCAGTTT